AGAGAAACCCACAAGTGCTGTAAACAAAGGAAAACTGTTACTCTGGGAGTGTGTTAGTTAGATATTTCAACACTCATAATTAACATCCCTTTCCTAAACTGTGGCACAAACTGCTTGCAGAATGGGTTTTTTTCTTTTATTGCTGCTAGTTTCAGTGACTAAATTTATTAAGCCATTAGGTTTGCCTATGGATGTATATATTTGCTATTCTCCTTAGGGCCATAATAAAAGGAGATCTTGAGGAAAAAAAAAATAGGAGATCTTTATTTATCTGGCAATTTTGAGAATGTTCGTAGGGAAACGGCAAGCAATACAAACAATTGTCCCAGTCCAGGGGGATGCTGAGGGAGCAGCTGGGTTTGGGTACAACTGCTAGTGACAGCCTTCGATCTGGCTTCCTTCCTGTCCCTGAGCAATGCACACGGAAGCCTGTCACCATTTCTGCTGTGGTCTGGGGGCATCAGGGGCTTCTGTGCTGGTCAGAGCTTAGTCTAAACAAATAAGGGAGTAAATTGATAGCTCTCGTGATCAGTACCTGGGAGCACCATGCTGTTGCTTATGGGGGACCCTTTCTTTGCACCTCCCAGCTGAGGATGCTCAGGGTACCACTTGCAGTGATGCTACCAGTCTAGAACAAGTAGGGGCTGGCACTGCTCTCTTGCTTGGAGCAGCATCGGGGTTGTCCACTGCCCTGGACACTGCCATTGCTCTGGGGGCAATCCATGGTACATTATACCCTCCCTGAACAGGTCTGACACAATGAATCCCCCCCAAATGACAGTTGCACCCATTTAGCTCCCTTTGATTCTGAATTTCATTGATTGTGTTCTCCCTAATTCTGTGTGTGATAGGTACCATTTTATTTTTTTCTAGGCTGTGCAACTTCCAATAAAACTACAGTTAGCACAAACCAGACCTATGTTTGCTTTTCAAAGCAAATCTAATTACTCTTCTTACTGGAATTGCCTTTTGTTCAAAGGATTGGATTGAGATACAGAAAACAAGTTCCGAGCAGATGCTAATCACTTTGCATGTAAATTACTAACATTTCTTTTACAAATATTTCATGCAGGTTTTTAGTTTAACAATTAAAAAAAATGATTTTTCAAACCCCTTTCAGTAATATCTATAGACATTTAACAAAATACATCGCACTCTAAATCTCCAAATAGGAAACAAATAAATGCATTTATTTACTTTGTATGCAAAAATGGTTTAGTCAAAGGCACATATCTTATGTGAAGATAAAAACAGGCAAATTTCCTTTTTTATTTCTCAAAATCACATACTCTTTAATGAGAACTAGTGGGTTTTTTGAGTGAGCTGAGCTCATAATGGTGCTGATGGGGAGCTCAGACCTCTATGCAGTTTGTACAGAAAATAGAGTCAAAGTTTATTTCTTTGTTTATAGACTGTAAAAAGACCATTGATTAAATGATGAAGGCATCTTTCTTCTCACTGCTTTGTACCTGGTCATGAGATTTCTGTCAAGGAGAGAGTTGGGAAAATAATTGAGTGGGGTTCGTTATAAGCTTTTCAAAATGATTTGAAAGGTCCTTGCACCAAGTGAGAGATTTTAGTGGCTGCTCTTGACTCCAAGGCTTACCATACCATTACCTCTGGAGGATGAAATCCTTACGTCCCATCAGAAGCACATGGGATCACAGCCTGAGGATCCTCTTGCTGGTTTTACCCACTCTGTATCTGTGGGATGAAGAGAAAGTATTGGACTGCCCATCAAACACAATTCATCAACACTGAATTAATCTTAAAAAACAAAACAAAAAAACAAATAAGTTTGTGCGCACCAGAGATCTGGTCAGTAGGTCAGTGGTTTTCCAAAAATGCCTTCAGTTATCTCAGATATGAGTCTGTGAGCTAAGAACTGCTTTATTAGTGTGAAGCGCATTAAGCTTACCTGCACTTTCCTCTTTCTTCACGGCTCTTCTCTGCCCAAGACAACTGTAACAGCAGTTCCCATCTGATTTGACATAATTGCCACAATTAATTTTGACAGGAAAGCTTGTAGAGAGGTCCTGCCATTAATATCCCAGTAGCGTTTTGTTATTGGTAACCCCAAAGCCATCAGCAAGGGGCACGTGCCAAAACTAAGTGACACAATATAGCTGAAGGCTTGACGTTGGCCACCAAGAAGATATCAACGAAGAAAAACATAAAGGTTTGCATGTTAAATAGATTTAGTGTAGAACACTCCAAATATCCCCAGGTGGTAGGGGTGTGTCCTGCTTGTCTGTCCTATCTCCTTTCTGGTCAACGTTTTTTCCCTTCTCCATCTGCTTGCTCTTTGTGTCACATCTGCATGAGGTAGTGCCTGCACCAAAGGTTTCTGGTGCTCGAACCTGTGAAGACCCTTCAGCATGTCAGTTTGATGGTAGGATGAATTGCATCCCGGTGTGTGTTTGTGGCACAGCGGGACACTAGCTGTTGCTGATGCATTAAGAGGAAGGATAATAATAATAACAATGGCATCATTTAACTAGAACTTAGCTGTCAAATCTGTGGGTTTTCTAAACTGCTGTTGGACAGAGCTGGGATGTTTCTTGGTGATGTTGCCATGGTTAGTGTCCTGAAGTGCTGTTGCAGTTGACTGTGGGAGATGAGGAATCAACCAGCCAACTCACAAAAACAATGGGACAGTTTTGTTTGGTTGTGGTAGAGCTTAAACATTTAAAGGAAATTACTATTTTTCTTTATTTTTCTTAAATCTTGATTAGGTTGACGTCTTTAAATACATTTGCTTTAAAACAACATAATAATTTTGCTGCTTTATTGGTAAAAGTGGATATACAGTATGGCACCTGCTTTTTTGAACTATGGTTGCATAGCATAAAATACTATGCTGTAGTAATTTTGAAAGGGATATTTATCTGAAAGCTTGATTTCTAATACTTTTTAAATAAAATCTAGATATTTTTTCCTTTCTGAAACAATGTTTTCAAAATGTGTTAGCTTTTATATTTTGTCTTTGCTGAAAATAAAAAATAGCCCTTGTTCCATGCTGAAATTAAAACAAACTTTGAAAATCCGGATATTTCATGCACAGTAAATTCCATGTTTTGGTCAAGTTGGTAGCTATCCTTCACAACCTATGAAATTTTCAGTCCCCATAAAGGGAATTTTCTTGATGGGTTTTTATTGATGGGGTAAAGAAGGCGTGGGAATGAGGACTGAATTGTCCCGTTTGGTTTTAGAGATGCTCTCCATGGCAGGGCTTGCTGCCTGGCTGGGCCTGATGCCAAGGGAAGCCCCCGGGCCAGCCGGTCACAGGCAGCCACTGCAAACTGCCCGGCTCCCGGGTGAGCTGCATCTTCGGAGGCAAGACAAAGCCTGGAGATAAAGAGCAGATATAAGGAGTGCTTAAACGCTGATCTTTTGGGAAGCTACTTCAAACACTGTTTTATAGTGCTCTAAGTCATCTAGATCTCTCTTAACTTGTTTCACTCTCTTCTTAAAATATTTATTTCTCCAGCAAGGAAGGCTCCCTCAGATAGGGCAGAATGACCCGTTGGGCTGGTGGTGTTTTTATCTGTGTGGTGCTAATGATTGATGCAAACTTCACGTGTGCAGCACAGCTCCGTGCTTTCTGCTGTGCTTTATCTTCTGTGGCTTCAAGCCTGCCTGGCTCCGTAGGTCTGTTGCACACTGGATTTATTGTCAGACCAGCAACACTTTATATAAGCCCCAAAGCGCTTGGGAACACAAACCCGAGTGTTGCTGAATGTTCAAAATGTTCACTCTTAAATGAGGTCTGCAGTAAATATGTGGCCTTACTCCAGATGCTTTGCTCAGATATTGGTCATGGGTTTTCCATTAAAAAGGTTGGAGAAGTTTCCAAAGACTTCTGAGTGGCAAGGGATTGGGGGAGAGCACGGCGTTCCTGTAGCAGCCCTTGCCCTCTCTCATGGGGTTCTGAGATACCTTGTCTGGGTCCAGCAAGAAGGGACTTTGTTGTTAAAACAGTTTTTCTTCAGAAAATATGTTTTCATTGTGGCTTGAGGTTTTTTTGCAAGAACGTCATAGTTTTAAGGAACCCAGGGGGAGAATTTGTTTGGCCAGGATGAATTATCCGCTCAGAATCTGGGAAAAAACCAACCCACCAACAACCACATCTAACTCAGTGAAGGTTTGGGAGCCCGTTGTCCCAGAGTCCCCTGGCCAGCCAGCTCTTTTAACAGTTTTAATATTTCCCTGTTATTAAAATCTTGAAAAGTTACTGGAACATGACAAGTTTTGGTCCATAGCTAAATGTAGTTTCCTCCTTGAGACGTTCTGCAAAGCTACCCCAAAAGCCAGCACAGGCTCAGGGGATATCTCAGACAGGCCCCGTGTCTTCTCTTCCTGGGCAGATGTGGGACCAGTTCTCAGTATCTGAAGAAATCCTTGTGTCAAAGTTACTTCTTCCTCTTTAGTGAAAGATTTCCAGGATTTGTGCCAGCATTTCCTCCCGTTGCTCTTGAAAAATAAATAGTTTACTTGCTTTTGTACTCCCTTTTCTCTGAAGCCACTTAAATGCCCCTGATAAAATGCCTTTTGCCCATAAAAATTTGAAGAAGCCTCAGTGTTTTAGAAAACAACCATTGCACGTATCTTGCCCATCACAAGGAAGGTAAAAGCAAAGCCAGGGAAGGCATTGGGAGCAGCAGATGAGTGGCAAGGCTGTCTTTTTTTTTTTATTTTGCTTAGTATTTTAGTTTAAATCCTGGTAAATTCCTGGCTTTTTCTGCACATTTTTCATGCCTGTTCACTGTAGGCTGTTTTGCAGACCACAGCTCTGCCAGGAAAGGAGAGACTTCCCTTTCAGTGGGAAGGTTTCTAGATGTGTGTTATTGCTGGGAGCTGATAGTGTTGATGCCTGTTGTTTTCTATTGTTCAACTAACTGCAATGCATGACCGTCATGTATCACTCAGTGATGCCTAATTTAGGAAATCAGTGATTAATTCCTTCCCTTGCTTTTTCTTCTCTCTCTCTCTCACTGCAGGATGTTTTCACACCAGAGTGCAAATTTAAGGAATCTGTCTTTGAAAACTACTACGTTATTTATTCTTCCACGCTGTACCGGCAGCAAGAATCTGGACGAGCGTGGTTCCTGGGACTCAATAAAGAAGGTCAAATTATGAAGGGAAACCGAGTGAAAAAAACCAAACCCTCATCACATTTTGTACCCAAACCCATTGAAGGTATGGAATCTGCCCGCTCCATTCATCAGTGGGGTATGGGGAGGGGGAATTTGCAACTGGGGCTTCCTAGAGGGGGTTTTGAGCTGTAAGACCAGAAAGCACGGTTAGTATCTGTAACATTTCAGAAAAGTTCTGGGCTGCACTGTTAGCATTTCATCTGCTTTTCTTCCTTTATAACAAACCTTACACATCATCCCGAAGGGGTTTCTCAGCTTTGGGGTGCTAAAGGATGAACTTGAAAACCCAGCAACATGAGAAGTTACTGGGGAAAGAAAGCATCCCTCAAGCAGCCAGCAGTTCCAAAGGAATCTGATCTGGCAGTGACCATAATGTTGGGTTCCCTGTGAGGATTTTCCCAACATTGTTCTGTAAGTTTCCAGTCCCATGTAGAGTCAGTAAAGATAGGATTTATCTCACCTGATTTTAGACTTTGACACTCAATAGTAACAGAAGAGAAATGGGTCCTACCAGCACAGCTGTGGATGTACTTTATATGTCTACCCTAAGATGAATTAAATCTGTTTTTTCTCATGTGCAAAGACATCCTACTTGGTCACTGGGGGGTAGAGAAACCTTATCATAGATGTCCAAAGTTAGATGAGATGCTGTTACGCCATATGTCTTCATCACAGCGTGAGGCTGCAGTGAAAGTCATGGAGTTGAGGTTTTGCCCTCCTGCTGCTGACTGCACTACTGAAGTGTGCCACAGGCTCATGCCAGGGCATTTTGCTTTTTATGGGCTGGCCCCTGATAAATGATGAGGTGTAGTGTGATAATCCTTGTACTTAACAGGTACTAACTTGATTCTGAAAATAAGGGGACCTCTTTTTTTTTTTTTTCGGTTGCTTGGAAAAAGCACTACTTTTTGATCCCCAAACTATGTAATGCTTTTCTGACCCCATCTCAGATCTGCCAGTGGCCACCTTAGGGACACAGCAGCTTGGAGCTGGTCTCAGCTGCGTGGCTCTGTGCCCCCTCTCTCTAACCCCATGTTGGCTGTGGGATCAGGGCTGGACACGTGGAGAGAAGGGATAAACTGATGCTTTCCTGACAGGTACCACTCAAAAGTGGTGGGGGCCACAGCTAAGTCCATACACTAGCAGCTGTTTTAACAGTTTCCCAGCTCAGGCGCAGGGGTAGACAAGCGTGTGTGTGTGAGAGAGAGAGAGTTAAAGGCCAGTTCAGGAAGGCAGGCTGAAATCATCTGTTGGACCACTGAAGCAAGGCACAGTACGAGAAATTCAACTCAACATTCCCAGAGTATCTGTGGCCTTTGCACAGGAGATGGAGGTGTTGGAAGAGCAGAGAATGGCCTGAACGCTCTTGTCATGTGCCTGTTTTCAATAGCTTTTCTGCAGCCAGGAGCTTTTTCTTTATGCTTTATCTGAGGCATTAGTGGGATTGGTGCACGAAGCCCTCATGTAGTTTTGCTAAGGAACAGGGCCTGCTGCAGGCATGGGGTTGGTCACCAGCTTCTCTTCAGTCTCCTCTCCTGCCTTGTCTGGGAGGAGAGTCTTTTGCAAGTGCTACCTTTAACAGCTGGGTTTCCAGCTCCTTCTAGTATTTCTTAGTTGCCTGGCTGGGTGTTGGTACTGATCTGTGGGTTCCTTTGAATCCAGGCTTCTTTTTTGATGTAGTGTGCGTGGCAACTGCAGAACGGCTCAATAGTTGTCTTCTGCATGCATTAAACTAGGCCATTCCTGTGGCTCTCCTCATGGAAAGCCTTGCCTTAATAGAGGTGCCTGACCCACAGCAGAGTTCTCATTGCAGCAAATGCCTCTCTGGCTTTCATTTTGAAAAACCCAGCCCAGCCCGAGAGCTTCCCTTTCCTGCAGTTGCATCCTCCCACACTTGCTTCAATCACAGCTGTCACACAACCTCCCGAGCGAGTGAGCGCTTTGGAAGTTGGCAGCCAAATTAAGGGCTCCTCCACCCCTTCCCTCCTCCACATGCTTTGCAGTCAGCCTCTGTGAGTGCTGCTGCATCAAAGAGCTGGCAGTCTCCCAAGCCGAGGCACGTGTCAGCTTCCCAAAGCATTCAGCTGTCTGGGACTGTGACTCCAGACGGAGGACTCTGTTCCCCAGCCTAAGATTCATTGTAGGTAGCAGAGTCTTTTGGGGAGGGTTGGAGTAAAACGCGCTCAGCTCCACGTGACACCTCGGTGCCGCATCCATCAAAATCTCCGTGAGCAGAGCTTGCAAGCAGAGATGTTACAGAAAACGGGCAATTCTTTCCCTGTTTTAACAGCTTCTTTCTCTTTGTCATGACTCTCAGGAAGTATTCAAAGCACCTCCCTGCTATATTTGCATGTCCCTTCTGCTAAATGCTGTGGCATGCTCCAGCGTGTGGGTTTTGCTGCTTATTCAGGCCAGTACTTCACAGCTTCCATCTGCAGTAACGCTCCCAGGTTTCCTTTTGCTCCGGTACCACCACCAGGATTAGCCCTGCCACATGATGGCTGAGACAGTAATGTATGCAAGGAGGAATCTGGTCCCCTGGGAAGGAGGGGAGTTACATACATTGCTAGGAATCACTTCACCCACCACTTCAATGGCAATTATCTCTAAGATGAAAGTTCCCAGTTGTTTGCCGTGTGCAGAAAAATTATGCAGCAGCTTAGGGAAGAGAGCATTTGCAGGGAAAGGAAACACAAAAAAGCCCAGATTGCTCCTGAAGCACATTTGACTCCTGTTGCTTCATATTGCTTTCTAAATTCAGAACTCCTCTCCTGAGAGTTGCAAATGGGCAAAAAAGTAATAAATAGATATGAAATATCCTCCCAAATAATTTCTAAGGACAACATATATGTTCATACAGTGTGAGTCGTGTGTGTTAGCTATAGCTTTTAGCTGCTACAGCTTTATGCTGTGCTAATCCCACAATGTTTTGACTCCTGTAGATTGTCAGGATGCTGGAGGTGTTCTGTGTGAAAGTCACTAAATATCCCACGGAAAAAGTTTTGGAGTTTGGTTGGTATGAGGGCTTTTTTGGTTTAGTGTTGGTAGGATTTGTTTGTTTTTTGGAAGTAGCATTAAGCTTAATCAATATAACAGCACAAAAAGCCTTACTGAGTAGTAACAGGGGAAACGTTAAGTTCCTGTCCCATCTGCGCACAGGGAAAGCCAAGGCAAACAGCCTGGCAGGCAGGAGCCAATGTACTGTGTGGTGCCTGTTTTGGTTAAAAACACAAATACAAAACACATTTCTTTTGATATTTTTTTTCTGATCCCTGATCATTTGAGTTAAATGAGCCCTTAAAGTGCAGACATATAGATTGAACCAGAATGCACAAGAAATTAGCTTGAGTGTAATTGTCACTTAGACACCAAGCAATCTTTTAAAGCAATTTCAGTCTCTTTAAGTGTCTGTAGTGATTAGTGCTGGACAAACACTACCATCCACAGCACCTCTTGTTCTTTTAAATATCCAAACCCTTCTCAAACAATGGGAGACATTTGCAGCCACTTAAGTGCAAATTTTATCAGATGCTTATTGTGGACTTGCTGTTATTTATGCTCCTTCTCTTTGAAGGCATCATTTCCAGACTGCTTTCCCTCAGAGCTACTTTTCATCTCTCACCTGGTCCAAGCCAGAGTGCATTTGGGGTGGCAAATCTGGCCACAGAAAGCAGAAGACTTGTCTTCCTCCACCTGAGCTGCCCCTAGCACTCATGGTATTTCAGCCCTCATGACATGAACACGTCTCAGATATGAAGGTGACCTGTTAATGACAAGTCTGATCCATTTATTACCACTGACGAATATCCATGTGCAAGGAATAGCTGCCAGATCTTTCCCAGTGTGTTATCCCAGGGATGCAACATCCCAGTTCTGTTAAAGCAAGATGTTGCAAAGAAGTACAAGACACTCTTGAGTAGGAAGATGTGGCAGGCCTAGTGAAAATGCTTCAAAGGTATCATCTTAATCCACAAAACATCCTAAAAAAAGTTCTTTAAAAAAAAAAAAAGACAAACCCCACACTCATTATCACTCTTTGTTAACACAGCTCCTCTTTTGGGTCTGTCTTTCAAGTGGGCAGGTTTTGGTATGTTTTCAATCCCACGATAACTCGCTTGTTCTTCTATCAGACTCCTAATCATCTTATTAGACGGTAAATGCAATGTATTTTAACCATGCCTTTGCTTGTATTTTTGTTATCCTGGGCTGCGTTTCGTACCTGAACAAACTGTGATTCCATCTGGTAGCATCCTACACATTTAGCCGCTGGATAGACACGAGCTCAAATGCCTCTGAAATGCATCAGCTGGGATGGGGTTTAGAACACAGTAATTAGAGGCAGAAAACGAGGGTGCATAATCACTTGCTCCCTCCTGCCCCTAGCTGCTGCTCAGACAATTAATTCTCTCCACTGAAGCACTAGCTAATGCAGCCGCTACTGCAGATACTGACACCCAGAGCTGTGGCATCCGTCAAGGGAAAGAGCTCATCTCCTGGGCTGCCTGGGATGTGTGCCCAGCCCTGCCCAGACACCGGTCCAGGCTGCCACCGGGGAACCCCTGCAGGGCTAATGACCTGCCTACCTGCTAAACAGCAACTTGGGAAAAATTTGGTTCCTCCTGCCTCGCTAGTCTGGGGCAGGGAAAGCCAGAAGTGAAGCTGGATGGATGGGAGAGATCTAAGGTCCTTTATTAAGATTTTACCTGTATTCTAGAGAAAGGAAATGGAGTTCTTTTCATCCCCTGAGCCGCCTCAAATGACAGTGATGCTGAGTGAGAAACGCTAGCATCAGGACACAAAATGGTGTGTGCTTCCCAAACTCCTTGATGCCCAGGGAAGCTGCACAGGGTGTTTTCGGTTTCCCTACGTGGGTGGTGTGCCAGTGCCATGCCTGGGAAGCAGAAATGATTCTGAGATCCTGTGCCGGTGCATAAGCGAGAGATTGAGCTGTTCCTGGGTGACAGGCAGCCCCCTCCACACCTTTGCCTTCGGGAAGGATGCTCCCCACTCTCCCCCTTCCCTCTTGCTCCCCCAGTTCCCCAGTCTCCTTCCTGCCTAAGTTGCAAATTATTACCTTGTGTTTGTGAATGACAGGCACTGCTGGTTGGCAGGGAGCAGAGAATCAAAAGCCGCAAGAACCAGACACAGGCACGGCCCCACTCACCCCCTTCCATTTACGCCTGTGGCTCTTCAGCAGATCAAGCTTACGGCACTTTTCAATTAAAGCATGAATATGGATGTGTTGATTAGAATCTGGGACATGGGAGCTGATTATCTGATTGAAGCTCCAAAGCATTAGCTTGGTTTCCAGACATTAAGGGCTGTATTTGGCTTGGTGTGTGGGTGTGGGTGGGTGGGAGAAGCAAGGCAGAGCAGGGAGGGGACTCTTGTTCTAGCCAAATTGCTCATCCTTCCAAAGCTGCCTTGTGCTGTGGGCACCAGCGGACCTCCCAAGCATCTGGGCATGCCGACTGTCACGCTGCTGCTGGTTTGCCTTGATGGAGGTGACAGGGGCAGTGTGTCTTCACACACACGTACACACACACACAGAGGGACCCCAAACAGACCTGTCAGTAGGCACTGCTAGTCCTGAACCACAAAGATGTACTTTAAAGCTGGGAAGATCTCGGCAGTTGCAACAGTCCATTTGCAAACACCCCCGTCCTCCCCAGTCCGTGACTAACATCTCCATGCGTGAGTCACACTAAAGCGTCCTCAGTACAAGGAGTAACAAACTGCAGTCCAAGAGCTGGTGTTGCACAACATGTCCCACTGTCCTTAAGCCCCAGGCATGTGCGACTATGTGCTTACACACCTGTGTGTCTGTGTGAACACACCTGAGAGTCACCGTGCATGTGGGTTTGCAGCCACCGCCACGCGATGGCCAAAGCTCAGCACAGGTGCACAAGCCTCTTGTGTAGGAGAACATCCAGGCATCTTGTGCATGATGCCATATAAATACTGCGTACACTGATCCTGGAGATGTATCTAAATACTGAAAATGTGCTTGTCCTATGCTGCTACGGATTTTCTGGCATGGTCTGTTGGCACAGCCTGGCTGGTACAGAGGCTTTGACAGCTCTGTCTGAAAAGCACAATGTGAGCAGCCTCCAGCCATGCCCCGTGCCAGTACTTGTATCATGGACTAGACTGGAAGATAAACTTAGAACTCCTGCCCTATTTGCTTGCTAGGTACAGAGTTTCTTTAATTTTTATCTGCAAATATTGCTTACCTCTGTAGGCTGGTTTATCTTCATTGCTCTGTGGCCTTGTTAGCAGTTCAATGTTTTTGCCCAGAGGCCACGGTGAGAGGCAGAGAGCTGAGTAAAGGCAAAGAGCTGTGGTGGTGCTGCTGCTGCAGACTTTGAGTCCTTGTGGTCAAGCATCTAGCCCAGCCCAGTGGGGAATTAGGGATGGATGTGGGTGAGATGATGAGCTTAGTACATGCAGCTGCCTGAGGGAAAAGCTTGTTGGGCCCCTCCAGCTCCAGCTGGGGAGCAGAGAGGTCAGAGTAAAGATGACACTGGACTTGAAGCAGAACTCTACGTATGGAACATTAGGGGTGCTGGGGCAACACTGGCACAAATAGCCAACTCTGCTGGGCAGACATCACATTAGAGAATAAGGTCAGTTGCAGAAGAGATATGCATCCTCACTGTCATCAAAAACCTCTGCATCTTGGGCCAGGAAATCATAAGGGCACAGGTTTTTCTCAGTTATTAACCTTTTCATAGTTCTTCAAGCTTTTTACTAGGTGCTTCTCCGCAAGAGACAAATTCACTATCACCAGGTTGTTGAGTGACACTCAGCAAGGTATGAAGGGCAGCTCAGCAGCTGAACGGGGATGTGAGATCTCTTTTCCTTCTGTTACGTCCTTGCTACACATTTCTTTGCACCATTCAGAAACAGCACCAATAGTCTGGGCAGCTGACAGGTAGTCCTGGCATTGCTCATTCTGGCCCAGACCCATGGGACAAGTCATTCATTTTCTCTTTTTTGTCGTCTTTCATAAAAAAACCATCTCCAGTAGCAGTAACAGTATGCAGATTTGTACCTGCCTTGCAACCATGCTGGGAAGCCCAGCTAGAGAGAGAGAGAGAGAGAGTGAGTGAGTGTGAGTGTGTGTGTGTGTGTGTGTGTGTGTTTAAACTGCTTTGAAAGGTTTGCATGAAAAATGCTCTATGGGAAAAGTAATATTTTTTCACTGCTCATATATTCAGTGCAATATCCCGCCTATTAATACACAGTTGACTGCACTTTATCTCTGTCCTGTATTGTTGCACACTGCTATAACTGTTTATCTAGCTAGGAGTAAAATGCAGAGCAATAATGTCATTTGTAGCCTGCCTCTAATTGCCAGGATTTATTTGCAAATCAGGGGACGTTATAAATACAAGTGCTTACATCGTCTTTTTATACTTGGGGTATTTTTTCCATTTCTTCTGATAATTTTTGACATTTTGTTCTTGTCAGTTACCTGGAACCAGAACCTGCTGGGCTTTATCCTTTGTGTTTGAGCTCTGTGCCCTTGTTTGTGACGTGACAGCTTTACAAAATGAAGCAGTACACAATGATTTCTTTCTATCCCAATTTTTGCAAAGATCCAGTCATGACATTTGCTGTCTGGCCCTACCACAAGTTCTCAACTCCAATGTGCCTGCCCTTGAGAAGCCTCACTATTTCAATCACACCTACACCCCACCACATTTGCGATGAGCTCATCAGAGATGCTCCCTTTGCTGTGAGCCTCTGAGCCACTCAGCCTGTGCCCCTGCTCTGGCACACCTCACATGGCACAAGGACAGCCATGAGGACTTAGTCCACATGGTGAGTTGGATAAATGCTTTATGCTGCACAGGACGTGGGGATGTGCTGTGTCTTGGGCAGACGTTGCCTTCTCAGGCTGTCTAGGCTCCAGCAAGTACATTTTTATAGGACATACATTGCTTAGCCAGAGTCTGGAGTGAAGGTGCCCTGTTCTCGGGTGCTGCCAGGTGACCACGCAGAGCTGAGATGGCTCCTGGCTTGCTGTCATTGCACTCATCACCATGTGTCTGCTCACAGCCTTAGCTTTGGCCTTGGCTGGCTGTCTTGATTTACAGGGGAAAAATAAGAAGTGCTGAGAGCAGAACTCAGCTCTTAGTCAAAGGAGCCAAACGGGCTTGAGTCACCACTTCCAGATCCAGAGCATAACACCCAGAAGGCTTTGGATGGCTCAGATACAAGTGTAGTTTTGATTCAAGAGTCTGAAGCATTTCTTGTTGGAGGTTAAGGACTGGGGACCAAGTAATTCCGTTACTAGATGATAACCAATATCTTGAGACAATACATGGTGCTGTGAATTGGAATGTTTATTGTATATATATGAATATAACATTAAAAAACAGTAAAGCACAGAAAACTTAGAAAAAGCTTGTCTGTGAGAAATCCCCTGTTTCTACCTGTGCCTTTGGAAGAATCCAGAGACAAAAGGAGGATCAGATTGGCAGCGAGGGCAGGTAACAGATCCTGCTTGGTAACAGGATCTTCTGCTGGGTCACTGAGGTTTCTGTAAGCATGTATGTGTTTGTATTGAGGCTGGAATTTCAGCCGCAGGTACACAGAAATAATTCATTATGGTCACTAATGTCTGTGACTTCAGGGCTGTTAACGGGTGTCTTTTCTGTTTGCAGTGTGCATGTACAGAGAGCCATCGCTGCATGAAATTGGAGAAAAACAAGGACGCTCAAGAAAAAGTTCAGGGACACCAACCATGAATGGAGGCAAAGTTGTTAACCAAGACTCGACATAGCTGACAAACACCCTCCCTTCTTCCAACTCCTCCCCTCCCACCCACCTACCCACCCCACCTGGCGAAACCACACTGAGACGACGACAACTGAGCAAGGCAGGACCTACCAGTAGTGGCTAGGAGTCCGAACTCCAGAATCTTTCTTTGTGTAGGACGAGGAAATTGAACCCCACATCCTGCCTGTTGCAACGTTTTAAAAAACAAAAACAACAGAAAAAAAAAAAAAGTGAAGAAAAAAAATGTTTTAAATCAGGACTCCATTAACATTTTCAAAAGCAAACTGTTTGCTCTGTGATCAAAGGGGGAAAAATCTCATCTCTGCATAATAATAATAATAACTAATAAATATAATAATAATAATAATAAAGATGTTACCTTTAAAAATAAAACAAAGCTTTTGGAAAATTGAACTTAGCATATGATGTGCGAGAAACACATAGGAAACACTGCCTGGGACTGTGCTTTCTGTCTTATACTTTCACCTCACGTTCACACCACTGTTTTTTCCATCCCTGCTTCCCTGGGGATGAATGGGATTTTTCACAAAGCAGGAAAGGTAGGGATGGATTATGACTGTGTTTGCTCTGCTATCAATAAAATATGGCCTGTCCGAATTAGGAGTCTGACAGTTATGGGCAACAAACTAGCTACTCTGTATTCAGCTTTTTCCACCTACATTCAAACACTGTGTAGTTATTTGTTGCTAGTGTCACTATGTGAGTCTGTTTGACCCAAGTCTGGCATTTTATGCCTTTTTATCATAATTATTTATATTTATAGGCTTGTTTTACTGTATTAGTTGCCTGGGGAATTTTGGAAATGGGTTTTCAACTCTCACAGGATAAACTGATCATATATATTAGGGAAGAGTTAGAAGATAAAGGGAGGGAGGGATGACTGCTTGATTTAAAATACAAACTGGAGCAAGGAACACTACTGAAATCCTTGCTGTCAGCTGGAAATGATGAGGCGTGTGCTATGTGAGGGGGTGGCAGGATTTCAGCGATGGGAAAAGGGGTGCGGGAAGGGAGTAGGTGGGGTGTGCAGAGGTGGGGGCAGCTACAGGGGAATGTGGGTGGTTGTGCATGTCAGGCTGTGCCAGGGTGAGGAGATGTTGCCATTTGCTTCTAGCAGCTGGGCTCTCCCTTTGTGTTAAGGCTCCACACACATCTCATTTTACACACGGTCAAAGCCACGACCACAAACCCTCTAAACCAAAGCCTTACCAGACCCAAGCCTGTTATAGGATAAGGACCCCTGAGATGCTGCAACAACCTTGGCATGGGTGTGGGTACATGTCTCACGAGCACTGAGGCTGGAGAAGCACTTCAGAGGTAACGAATTCACAGCCAAGGAAAGGCAAGGAAGAGGGCAATGGGGTGAGGGACGCTCAGCACTAAAGCCACTTGCAGCAACGAGTGGGGATTTGCAAGTCTCTCCCTGTCTGGCACTTTCTCTCCTTGTAGTTTTTGGGGGTTGGGGGGGGGAGGGGGGTCAGTGGTGAGCCACACACCCTTACTCCTGTGGGTGGTACCGAGACAGGGTGATACAGGCAGATGCCCTTTACCAACACACATTACCCTCAGTCTCTGACTTCTTTCGGCACCCAGAGCTTGCTGTCAGGAGCAACACATCCTAGAAGCAATACACTTGCTGTTACAAATACAGGCCCCGCTCTGGCAGAGGCGCCTGGGAAGTTTCTGCTGCTCAGGGCCATGGTTATCACTCCTGTGAGACGTGAAATGCAAACGAATAAACAAAGGAAGGCCTAAGGGCCTGGGGAGGGGTAACAGGTCAGAATAGCCTGTTATATTAGGGGAAGCAGCCCAAAGCTTTGCTGTTAAAAGCCATGCAGGGGTGGTTTTGACATTCAGAAAGTATGAGCAGCCATGAAATGCCAAATACCACCTTAGTTGTTGAGATTTGTTTTCTGTCACGGCCGGCATGGCCTCAGCTGGCCGGCAGCTACACGCTGTGAAACTCCTGTGGCTGTGGGAGCCGGGGAGTGCCTGGGCTGCCCATGGTACTCCCTGTGAAGTGGGCACTGAGCCAGGCACCACCAGCCCTGTGGCACACGCTGGCCCCGGTGTGCGGCCGGGCTCGGCCAGCAGCTCTGTACAGGCACAGAGCATGTTGGGGAAAGCTAAGGAGAGCGCCAGATTTCAAGGTTATGGAAGACTCCCAGGATCAGCATGAAGGAATGAATTTCAAGCACGTCCTTTTGGGTTTTGAAAAGCTGAAACCTCAAAATAAAGAGCCTTTTACCATGGCTCTACGGCCTAATGCTGCACCTGCGGCCAGCCCGCTCTGTGCTGTAGGGACACAGAGGGCACCAGTGCCTGCATGCCAACAGCAAGCACCAACGAGGTTGATCTGGGGCTCCCAGTTGTGACTCCTGCCCTCCTCAGAGCCCTCAGGCCCACAACACTGGGGCAAGGGCACTAATACATGTTCAGGTTGGGGACCGTACCCTCTGCCTCAGCAGAGACCATCCATTGCCTACATTTCAGCTCCTTCACAAACCAGAGAACACCTCAAACTAAGGAGTGCATGGGAGGTGTTGGGGTGGGTTGGGGGTGAAGAGGGGGGGATGCCGGTTACTCCCTGAAAAGAGGTACATTCCAAGAAATAGACCCTTAAGACCAACATCTTGGGCTACCAAGTCTCTGAACTAACCAAGCCATAAAACACCCAGGCCATGATTTAAGCACTCAGCCATGGCCTTTCTCAGCTGCCCTTCTGAAGGAAAAACCCAGTACCTACTGCAGCAGAGAACATCCACGGCACATCTTGAAACCACAAGCCCCTTCTAGGCCCATCCATGGGAGCTTGCCAAAGTCACTGATGCCATGGGCAACAGCAGCTCCAGTTCTGCTGTGGGCTTATTTTTCCATTGTGTGGCTCACTTACTTATCACTTCCCATACTGGGCTTTTGCCTTGCTAATTTTCTTTGGCCGAATCATTGCAAGAGTCCCTGGAAATGCCACATTCAAGCCTAAATGTCAAAATAATCTGCTCCTTTGGTCTATTGTGTTTGAGCTAATCATCTCCACACAACACTCACTGTGCTGGCCTGTAATGAGAGCTAATTAATCCTGCTCACACCCAGGGTCTGTGCTACCTCAGAGCACGTCTTCTGCCATGTGTTGTAAGTGCGTGCTGGCTTTCCTTGCTGCCTGCTTAGCCCTGGCAAACTGTGAGCCACATATGGTGGCATAAACCATGCTAAAACCCTCCCACACACCTTACTGTGCACCTCTTGACCTCTAAGGAAACTGCAAAAGTCAGTGCATGGTATAATGCAGGGACTCCTGACATCAGGATAGCCCAAAAAATCCAGGGAGGCTGCACAGCCCAGCTCCACAGTGTTCACCTGCACCAGCTCCTGACTGGGAGCTGTGAAGCTCTGGGTGCCCCAGAACTCTCCAGTTTCCTGGGATAACCCAGGAAGATCCACACCTTGCAGGCATCACACAGGGCTTCATGCCTTTTTTCTTATTTTTTTTTTCACTCATGTAAAAAGCTTCCTCCCAAGCCACATCTCAAGGAAGTGCTGTGGGTTTTGTTGATTATCCATCTGCCATTTCCCAATCTGCAGGGAAAAAGGGAGTCCACAGAGATTTTTCCTGCTTTGAGGTTCTCTCAGCCTCTTCATTGCTTCTCATTTTTATCGCTTAGTGTAAAAGTCCTGACTAATGATGTTTCTTTTGTTTCTTTCTATAGCCACATGTCACTAACATTTAGGGAGCTTTGTGCCTCAGTTTAACATTATAGTGACTACAACCTTTAGCTAGCCTACATGGGATAAATTTCCTTCCTAGCTACGTTTTGCATTGGGTGAATATCTAGCACAAAAAAAATGGCCCAGAAAAATAAATGATAAAAAGAGAGATGTTCTCCTCTCATCTAACCCATGGTAACGGTTAACTCTGCTAAGTCTGCAGCAAACTTTTTCCCTCTGAATAACAGGTCCTGCTATGGAAGATCTTGGGTGTTAAAAGTCCAGCAGTAGAAAACACTTCAAAGCACAGAAATATTTACATTTACATTTAAAGCATTCATTTTGTTTCACCCTAGTTTTGTTTTTAAATGTGATGTCAGCACTGTTCTGGCAGTACACGCTATGCAACACAGCTCCTCTCACTTATGCATCAAGAGCAAAACCTGATAGCATGTCTCCAGTCTGGACCATCAGGAATTACTAGGAAAACAAGGCAGAAAAAGATACCAGCATGACAAGCACGCCATACTGCGCCAGCGAGTTACGCCACAAGTGTCAGCACTGTCAAGTGACAGTGCGCTAGGAAGCAAAGTTGATACTCAACAAAGCAATTTATGAAAGTTGTCTGTCAACACTTTTGTATTTGCGCTCAGATAGGGTCTGGCTGATGGAGCCCCATGCAATCCCTCAAACTGACATGGGCATCACTTTACACCTTTACAGCTTAACCTGCACTGATTGTGCACCATGAGTGTTACTACCTCAGAAAGCCGTCACTGCCCCATTCTCTGAGCAAAGCTGAAGGAAGTGGTGGTGGAAGCTCCCTATGCTGATTAGGGCTAGCAGGAAACAAAGTGTGCCATCCTTCCTGATTTCACACCAGCAAAGCTGCAGCATATATGTATAGTAGACATGAAAAAGCTATTTTTTTGAGGACTACAGTTCCTAAAAAAAGGTGGTTCAGAATAATCATTCGTTACAGCAAACAAACCCAGCCTTTGCTAATGGCATACACTAAAATACACTACTTTTAACATGGCGGGGGGACATTGGCCCCAAAACATGTCCAACACTAGACCTCTATTAATTGTGGCATAGCTTGGCCCCGGTCCAAGGCTCAGTTTATATGTCACTTTGCATCAACGGGAAAAAAAAAACACAATCAAAACCCAGTAAGAAAAGACACAAGTGAGTGTCTTTGGGGTCAGAGTCCTCTCCCAAAACTGGAACAAAATCTTTAACTGACACGAGGAGATGACCCACTGTAAGCACCTATGAGTAAAATCAAAAGAAACACTACTGCACTTCCTCAGTGAAGCAAAGAGGTTTCCATGGCATTCACGTCTTATCTCTCCCACCACCAAAGCTTCAGCCTTCAAGGTGATTGAAGGCTGTTTCCATGGAGTAAAATGCAGCAAGGCTTACGTGCTCCTCACTAGCATGGAGTAAAACTTGACTGCTCTGCTTTGGCTGCTAAGAAACAGTCATGGCATCAACCAATTTTCCCATGTTCTTCTTAAACACCTTGAATAAAGACTGAAAAAAGAAATCCCATATGCAGGCTGACACATTTTTAACATCACATTTAAACATATGAACGTCTCAAACCTGCTCAAACCTTTGTGGCCACAAAGTTAAAGCTAAGTAACTAGCATTTCAGGACAGAGCATTTCATTTCATGATACTTGCGTAAAAAACTGCTACACACCCAGAAAGTTGGACTTCTTCCCGGTCTGCCTCCCTCTTGAACTTCAGGCACCTTCTCTTTGGCAAAGGAGGTCTAGGTCAGCATGGCCCCAGGTCTCATTTCACCAGTGCAAACACTACAGATTAGTGTGATGGTGCAAGGAGCTCACATAGGCTCCAGCGCATTCCCACCTGAGGCAAGTGGAGGATCGGTGCAGAAAGATATGACCTTTTATGGAATCCTGGAAAGGACAAGAACTCTGGTCAAACAGCTGCTTGGAAAGAGAAAAGAAGAGCTGTTTTATTCAAACCACATTCTGGTGCAGGCACGGGGATAATTCATCTTTGAGAAAATGCCATTAATATTTACTAAGCAACACAAATGGATCTGGGCTCTCCAGAAAAAAAAAAAGAAAAAAGAAAAAGAAAAAAAAAAGACATTACCAATTATTAAAAAAAAAAGTGTCTGGGTATGGGATCTGAGCAAAAGCAGAGGATAACCCTCCCAAGAGTCTATTAAGAATGGGTTATATATTGTTCCATTTTCCATGCTCATTACAATCACTGCCCCAATAATAGCTGCATGCTGTGTCTTTTTCTATTCTAGTACAATTTTCCCCATGGGAACTAAATATCTCAGTTTAAATACTGAGCAGAAGGCGGCAGTATGCTTCTGCTGTGCTAACCCTGTGTGTAATCTGCACCTTAGCTACCCTTCTTTCTCATTGCTTGGTATAAAAATGAAGGGGCATCATGGGGAGGAAGACAATATTGGTTAAACAGTCAAACTAAATGACATTGTGAAGGTCAAAGTATGTCAGACAATGTCTTACAGAAATTAAGGTTTTGGGATGAATTTTAATTCCCTGAGCTCTGAGAAAAATTGCAGGGAGAAAAGCAATCAGTGGGTCCATCTTAGTGCCAACCCCTAAACTAGGACTTTAGTGACATTTAAGTCTCTACATCCAGCTCCTGGTTTGGCTCCTGCACACAGTGATGCTTTCCTTTCTCAGTGGTCACAGTTTCGCTGGGACCTTGTCCTTGCTGTGTCCTTGGGGCATCCTGGTCCAAACAAGGCAGAGTAGTTTCTGCTTGGGCAGCAGTGGGATCCTAAGTACCCTGTGCGGAATTTCAGCTGATGGCCTGACCCAGAGGGGCTCCTCAGACAGTCCTCCTCATGGCACCACACACCTTCTCCAGACATGCCAGAAAAGACAAGAAAACAAGGCTCAATGTCCTGGAAAATTCTGCTTCCAAGGACCCTGATTTGTGCAGACCCCATAGTGAGAACCCAAAAATCTGAGACAGAGATGTCAGCCCCCCTGTTGTGCTGTCCCTAGTCAGTGCCTGAAGTCTCCAACTGCCAGCAACCAGCTCTGCTGCAGGTGTGTCTTGAGGATCACAATATTTTGGCTTGTGAAGTGGTCTGATCATATGATAATGGGATCCTGCAAAGGCAAAGAGCTTCTGATGTGACTATGCCTCAAGGAGTCACTTACACACTGTGACTTTGACACTGCCTCTTATTAATTTTATTTTCCAACTTACTGCACAAGCTGGCAAGTGAAATAGTTCCACTCAATTCACCGTTAAACAAAGAGGCAAACCAGTGCATAGAGCACAGGCTTCGCTTGACATTAACTGAATTTGAAGATCAAAAAGAGGTGTGTTTAACTTTGCATTATCTTAATTTTTAATTTCCACTATTTTCTATGCTTCCTGCTATCAGAGAGAACAGAAAGCAGAACTAATAGGGAGCAACACACTGGCAAAACATTGACTTCTGGTGTGGAAGCACAAAGCGTTATCTAACAAATATGTGGTGATTCCCAGATGACTCATATTTGGGTTTCAGATGGATAGTTTTCACCTGAGTATGTAATGAACTTTCACAGGGTCGTATTTAGGGCACTGCCTTTTACCAGCAAGTCCAGCTGATTCTCCTTAGTAGGGTCAATCAGCTGCAATGTAGGACCTAAATCTGAATTCAAATTGTGCAGTCCATGTATATAACCAGGGCTTCCCAAGAAAAGCTCCCCATGGGGACCCAGAGACCTTAATTTGCCATGGAAGAGGGTCTAGTTCAAATTCTCCATCTGTGGATTCCCCTTCCATATTTTCCCCTATAAAACCAAACCCAACTTCTAAACCCTATGGTCACCTCTATTTTCTTGAATCTCCAAATATAAAAACTGGACTATTTCAGAATTTTATTCCATCTGTAGGATTGACTGGGCCTTTTATAAAGTGGTAGCATTAAAACCAAAAAAATACTTCAGTATTGGATAGATCTGATTGCCAAGGAACACAGTAACCTAGCTCTAAACATGCCCAAAACTTGGAGTCCAACATCCATGTAGAAATTTAACTTCCACTGGTGCAGCTTGAGCCCATCTATTATTAATTCAGTAAAACCATTTTTCTGTTCAGAAATATGTTCCTTGGGATTAGCTTCTGCAAACACATCAGCAGGTGGTGGCTTCAGAGAGAGACTGAATAGATGCACTCCTGAGAGTCAAAGCTAGGGGTACTTTAAATAGAAAGACAAGTTCATCAATGAAATTAAATCTTTCTAAAGGCAGCATGAGCTTGCTCCAGGTGAAGGCTCTACCTTTTCTTTGAAAAACAGTTGCCTGCTCCTGCAGATCTGCAGGAATAAATTTTAAGTCAGGGTAGCTTGTAATAAAACAACCGGGGGTTGGGGGGCGGGGAAAGAAAGTCCCCCCATCGGTTCCATATTGCTGCCTACCTGGCTTTTGGTTTGTTTTGGGAACTTTAAGGAGCTGAGAATCAAACTCACCCTCAGGGCAACTCCAATGAAATCAATGTGCAACCCTGGGAATTAATCTGGCCCAAGCCTCATTTTCTCTTTAACTGCAGGAGCCAAGGTCATTTTCCCATCTGGATTTTGCAGATGCTTCTGCACATACTGATGAGTTATACTTTTTATCAAACCTTGACCATCATTTTCAGGGCTAGAAAATGATTGCACAGTGCCAGAGGATCACAGGAAATAGCAGGAAGACTTGGTGTTAAAATCCAGACCTTATTTTTGTTATGTGCCATTTTTTCTGTGTTCCCCAAAGGCATACACAGTATCTTTCCACAGGGTAGTACAGGACTTTGTCCTCTTTTGTCTCCACAATCTGTCCCTTAATGTTGGATGACACCACTCATCTTCTATCTTGACTTAAAGGAAGCTCCTTTTTTCCACATCTGTAGGATTCATCTAACAGTGCGACCAGCATTCTTCTGCTGGTGGAAGCACTGTCCATCTGTCTGTCTGTCTATCTATCAATGTTTATGGCCTTGTTCCTCTCTTATCTTCTCAATAATACACCTTGTACCAGTACATGTGATGTCTGGATGGATCTGACCCTGCAGGAACCTCTGATGACAACAGAGAACCTTGCAGTCAAGCTACCTTAGACCGTAACTTGGTCAGGACTTTGAAAACTGCTTTTGAGTAATTGAGAGCAAAGTCTACATGATACATCCAGCAGAACCCAGGCCCATTATAGTGAAGAAGACATGCCATTTAAACATGGCAGTGACCATAAATCAATATATTGGAGAGAAAGGGTCTAAAAAAGCAATTCTTTTGCAGCCCCTTTTATCCTAGGCTTAGTATGACCATGTCACCTCCTCAGTCTAAAACAAACAGCTGCCAGCTACAAAGTCATAACACTGGGAAATTTGTGCTTTGTGATATTTTAATATCCTGAGCAGAGGATTATTTGCTGTTTAGTGTGCTTTAAAATGTTCTCCTTCTGCACAATTGATAGCTTTGCTGCTCCTGGGTAGAATAACAAACAGCTGTGCTGTTAAAATAAAAGAGATCCTTTGGATCATCTCAGGGCAGCATCTTGGCAGTCTTGGAGCCATGGTGACTTGTGGAAAGGGTGAGTGGTTGTGGGGTAGTTTTGCCAGCTGGTGCAGGCACTTGCAGCTGCTCAGAGTTCATGTAAAAAAGATGCCATCGCAGATTATTAAGGGCAGAAAGGACCACTGTAAATCATAGACTCATACTTCTTGTCTGATAGTGACCTAGGGCCAGAAGTCATAGGTGAGTTTGACCAGAGATACCCAGCTGGGCAGCGGAAATGCTGCTGTATGTTGTTGGAATTTCACCTGCCAACATTGTATTTATGTGATGCAGCAGAAAGTTCATCCAGAGGCTGGAGACCAGGTAATCAGATTCCATACATGTTTACTTCTTGATTGTTTATTCGATTAGGGTAACATCAAAAACCCACTGGAGACAGTGAGAGACTCCTGTTGACTTTGCAGCAGTCTGAATCAGTCCTGAAACATTCACAGTTTTAATTTGCACAACCGCTATTTAGTGCTGATGCTTCCAAAGGTCTGAATCAAATTATCAGCTCCCTTTGGAATAATGTGTTCATACACATCTATACTTGCCCGAAGGTAACCTCTTATAACCTGTTCCAAATAGCTGTCCTGCCTGGATTGACACTTCCTCAGAAGAGCCAGGATCACCTACTAACCTCCTTCCATGCATAAGTAGTTTATTGGCCCACGTGAAGGATAGTATGGCTGGCAAAACTGGCAGAAAAGATGGAGCTGTAGCTCAAGAGAGTTGGGAGCAGTCGGGTCAGAGCTGTAGAAAGAGCTCCAAACGGCTTTGTGTGAAGTTTCAGCTAACGTTGCCTGGTCCATCTCATCCATTTCCCCTTCCTGTCTCCAGACAGGACACAGACAGACACTCCTTCCTCCTGCACCCCGACTCCCCTCTGGCAATACCTGAACCCTGTCTTTGCTGCAGCTGCTGGGTCCCTGCAGTGAACAGCAGAGCAGAGAAACAGCTCATATTGGTGAATTCTGGGGTAAAACCTTTCTGGGTCCAGCTCCTCACAAGCCAAATAAAAGTGTGAGCTGTGTAGCTGGCAACCCTTGCTATGTGTAAAGACACCAAAGGGAATGATCTGCCAAGGTTTAGACATGTCAGATGTGGAGCTAGAATGGATTATAATTTCTGTTGACTGCTTGATAATGAAGATCTTTTGCCCAGTCTATATAAGATTGAAGAACTAGGTAATATTTTTTGGCGTAACAGTAAGCTTCCAATGAGAAGAAATACAGTTTCTGATTTGTATTCCTCTGACTTGAAATCCTTCATTTTAAATGACTGTTTGTTCTTCTAATTTAGAATCTGGGCAGGCATGGAAACAATTTATTTTGGTTTGCGAAAGGGGCTGAGTTCGACTTTGTTAAGTGCATATATACTTTGTTGATTTGGGATGCAATGCAACTCCCTGCTAAAATAAAACTGTTTAAGTGGCAAGAGCTCCACAGTGGGCTTCGTGATCATACACTCAGTGAGGGATCTGTCCTTCCCCTTCCCTGGGCTTTGGAGCAGACTTGGTGGTAGCTGGGTTGGTAGGGCTTGCCTTTGAAGAACAGCTCCACATACACTTTGTGGAAAGTGTGAGGGTGGGATTTGGCCCTACAGATCACCCACAGCCCCTCAGGGCACCTGGTGAGGTGACAGACTGTGACTAAAAGCATATGGCTGTGGTGTCCTGACTGCCACAGCACGTGGAGCAGTATCATGTGTGCTAAATGTGCTGGCCAGATGCAATGGCCCAGGAGTGGAGATTGCTTTGTCATCTGCCTCCCTCACATTCACTGCAAGTGTGCCCCACCAGCTGCTGAGATGTCACATTTTGCACTTACCCTCACAAACCAAAGCATCAGTTGGTGTCCAGTCAAAGGCTTCTTGTTGCAGACTGTTCCCTGCAGGCTCAAGGTCTGTGATGAAGCCAGAGGCTCTTTGCAGCATTTCTCCCACCTCCCATCTTCCTGATTAACCTGTCCAAGGAAGGTAGATTGAATATCAGATTGCTGTGTCTCCTCTACAAGAGTTACTGTCTAACAGTCACTTAATGTACTAAACCTTCTTCAGACTGCTAAAGTGACTTTCACACCCATCATTACGCGATGCAACCCAGGAGGCCAGTCTGACATGGACCTTCTTGGTGAACTCCTCTTCTCAAATGGGGACCACTCATCTCCAAATCCCAATGCAAGCTCTCCTCTCTACCGCAATGGAGAAGTCCTTGCACTTCTCACAGCCTCGTTGGGAACTTAGAGTCTCACTGCTAGAAACATGGAAATTCTTTTAAAAACCTTATTTGTGCAGATACAGATAAAACAGGATTTCGACATCTCTAACAATGCTACTATCCCAGTAAATAAATTATCAGCATTCACTTATAATTACTTTTGTTATACTTGTGCCTGCCTCACAGCAAATTTCCCAAGACAGAGAGTTCTGATGTCTGTTAACTCTATTTTCCCTAATGTCTGAGTAAAACCCATTTTTTGAAAAATGCTACTTATTATTTGAAGCAGAAAAGTAATTGGTATTGAACAAAAGCTGGATAATATTGTCTTTCGTGATATGCTGAGCAATGACTTAGACTACAGCAACGTTACATGGAGCGAGGATTTGTTTAAATAGCTTTCATTCTGGTTTGCCACTAAACCTCAAATAGTACATTAAATACATGTATTTCAGTACCCCAGCACAGACATTTTGTTCTGTAACTCGGAATATTTCATCTTACTGCTCTAAGGATTCTTGCCAGTTGGCAGCTTTGCACGTGTGCTAAATTGCTAAATTTTTAGCATTTACCCACTTATCTAGTTTGACACAGCACGAGGCAGAGGGATTTGGGCCTGGGAATATGGGCACTGCACTTTCAGGTTTGTAGACACTTAAATTGGCACTCTGTAGTCAAATAGCACGGCAATGGGCCCCTTGCAATTAAACTGATAAAGAGCAAAATATGTTAGAAGCTGGATGAATTAAAACCATAGCCACCTAACAGCAGAACAATTTGCAAGAGAGACTGCACTCAGGAGGAGTCACAAGCAAAACCTGCCTGATTTACTGCAGACAGCTCATCCATCTTGAAACCAAATGGTCAATTCATGCCATATCTTTGCTCCAGCTACCCACAGGTTTGAGGTCAGGTTTGGTCCAAAACCAGCAAAGAGTTTGTCTCCATATCTTGGATTAATCTAAACTGGTGTGGCAACTAACTGCTGCCAAACTAGGGCTGGGGTTGTCCCTCGTGCTCACATCATCTCTCATCTGGACCCAGTTCAGAGCTAGATTAAACCAAAAGAAAATTATTTGCTGGTTTAACCCCCTGAACAGACTCACCGACTCACCCCAGGGGCAGCCAAGAGCCAGCACTGGCACAAGGGACAGGGTGGGAGCATGTGGCCAACAGTGAGGTTGACAGCTGGCAGGAGGTCTGCCACTGTGGGGAGCAGATAGCCCTTCCATCATCTTATCCATAGTGTCAAGCCACGTCCTCAGTGCCTGCTGTCCTCACTGCAGACAAAACAGTCAGACCAGGACACTGTGGAAGATTTCTAGCCACCATCAGATTAACAAGAGACTCATAGTCCTTGGTTGGCTTTTGCTCTGAACCAGAGACTTTTTTTTCTCTGTTGACTGGTATCAGAAATGAAAATTAACAACAACCTATCAATACAAGCACGTTAAAGCTATGCAGCTACTATGAACACACAGAGACAGGGTCATCTCAGCACAGATGGCTGCTCTGAGTATTTCTAGCACCATTGCTAACTTACTCTACCAGTTGGGACCACGGCAGACCCCTAGATCCCCCAGCCATGTGTCTGCAGGTCTGCAGAGAGAAAAGCATGACAGCAGCCTGCCGACAGCCTGCTCGGTCTTCATGACAGCAAATAAATTGCCTAAACTTCATAGCAGTGTTGTGCCAAGCTGCCAGCTGTGCTCAGCTCTGTTCTGGATGCACCAGGGACCCTGTTCCAACCGTGCCCATCCCGCCAGGTTGGCATCAGAGCAGGGAGCAAGTCTGGTTTGGAAAGTGACCCTGAGTATCAAATGCAGGCAGGACAGACTCAGCTGTCTTCCCAGGGAGGAAAATTGGCTTCTAGAGCCCCTTACAAAAATAAATAAATAAATAAATAAATCTCTTTATTCAAAAGTGAGAGAGGCTTGTGGCCAAAATTTCACATTTTGCAGTATTTCAGAGAGATCTAGTCTTTGTTCTGGACTGAAACTCCAGCCCAGTTGGCACAAGTCCCATGGGTTTCAGGGCAGCTATGATTTCATTCTCTAACTTACACTGCTGAAAGCACTGGCTTATGAAAGGTGAACAGCTTCTAAGAAATGGGCTAGAGCCAGATCTGGCCTTCCTTATCACTCTTTCCCAGGGTTTTTAGTGCTAGTGGCAAACAACTACCTAGTAGTGAAAAGCATCCACAGAAACAGCAGAGTCCCAAGGACAGCTTCAGGCAAAAGCTCCAACCTGTCTCCTAGGATAGCCCTGTCTGGGGTGCACAATAATATCACAATAAGACTGCCCTTAAGATGTTTTGTAGGGAAGGAGTTGAACTACACCTCTTCTACTGAGGTCTTCACCTTTCTGAAAATCCAAGATAGTGAGTTTCAAATAACTAGTTATACTCCATGCAAAATAGCATTGCCATGTCTCCCAATGGTAAATAACAGCAAATTAATGTCAAATGAAATAGTAATTCTTCTGATGTTTCAAGCACCTGAGCTGTACAAGATAAAAAAAAAAAAAAAAAACCACAACAAAACACATTGCTAACAAATCTGTTGTTCTGAATCTCCCCAACCTGTGAGGGTTTGAATAGTGGAATAAATGCCACTGTTTGCCTGCCCTCATCCTCTGCTCCCCACCCACCCTTAGGGGAGTGATTTGATCTAGAGCCTGCTGTATTGGCTCCAGACCAAGGCAAGCTGGGCTCTATTCCCAGACCTCCCTCTGCTTCCTGATGCTGTGCAGCTCAGATCTTTCTCTGAGCCTCAATCCCCCCACCTCTAATAAAAGACTGAGACATTGGTTTATTTTTGAAAGCTCCGGGTAAGTAATGCAACAGTAGAGAGAGGGAAGGGTTGGGACTATCCAGACTGCTGCTCTGTATCCAATGGTTCAAGAGGTGATGAGAACTGGGCTCTAGCTACCTCCAGCTCTGTTTTTTGGAAGCATATGCCCTCATTACTGAAGATGTGCAAATCTAAATCTCCTCCTCCAGCACTCCATTCTGTTTTTCTATGGTGTTTGTGAAAATTACAATTTTGTCATTTGAAAACAAAAGTGCTTAGCTAGCAAGAAAGAATCCATAAAGAAGGCGGTGGAAGCTGTCACATCTGTACTGTCTGAACGCCATCTGTCTCCCAAGTTTACTCTGAAAGAAATAAAATCCCATCCAATTCTCTTGCTATATATCAGTAAAATGCTTAGCAGTGGCACTTGGAGAAGGAATGAACACATTTCAATTAGACAATGGCATCATAAAACACCAGCTCAGTAAATAAAAACCTGGAGGTTAACATTTGTAGAGATTAAGCAGTCTGTTAAGTAAAGCTTACCGTGGCATCTTAGGGTCTTTGTAATACATAGTTATATATATGTATCATCCAAAACAGGCTCCTTGGCTCACTTTTCAGACTGTTATTTTTCCTTTAAACATATACGATTGCCTCTTTGCACTTTTGGTAGAGAAAGAAAGGACAGCAGAGTGATGGAGAGGGAAAGAAGAATGGCAGAATGGCTTGGGTTGGAAGGGACCTTAAAGATCAAACAGGCATATCTTATCTTTTCTTAACAGGCTGGTGACAGATGCTGGAAACAGAAGGTAACTGGTGCAAGTGGGCTAGTTACCATTCAGAAAAACCCAATTGCCAGGTTAGATGGAACTGAACACTGGGAGCCCTTAAGTATATGCATCACCACTGATTTCCAAGACTCTGTAACCACTATGGTTATGAGGTTATAACGTATTGCTTTCCCTTCTGTAAATCTCAGAATAGCCTCACAGATATTTGTTTCTGGAAAGATGGAGCAACAACTGTATCCACTGCAAGCCTAAGCTAAGAGGAGGATCCAGTGTTTCTTGCTGGTTTCACAGACAGCCTTTACAGCCACGGCAGAGTAAACCTGGACAGGCTTCAACTTTTTCCAAATTCAGATAAATACTTTTGATTAAGATAAAGCAGTACAAATATTTAAGAAAGGCTGCTCCTGCAGGGTGCTCCTGGGGTAACAGGTCCTGTGTACACAGGCAGGTCTCACAGGGCTTTTCAGAGGAGCAGTGTCCTTTGCCTGTTTCTAGTAGTGCCTGCTTGGAACTGTCATCACTGTGACCCCCTATTGACTTTATGAGCAAGACTCAGGACAGAATTTGTTCAAAGTACCTCAGGAATCTTTAGTGCGAATGTCACCAGCACACTCCCACTGCAGCGAATTGGGCCTCACAAACAACCAAAAACATTGCTCCCATCTTATATATGGGGAAATGGGTCTCAGACAAACGCAGCCTGTGATGATGCACCTTCTACTGCACTTCACTAACAACTGGGCCAGATGATCCACCTGGTGCACATACTCCAAAGAGCTGCTGAAACCTGCTGGCTGCTGAAATGTGCCTGCACTACAGCACTCTTACACCTGTGCTGCCAGTTCTCCTTCCTTGTCGTTTTTGCCCCTGCTTTAGCATCATTTTTCTCCCTCCACATGAGCTGAGAGATTTTCTCCATTATTCCAGCTGTTGTGCTACACCACACTGAACATAATCAAAGCTAACAAAGCACGCTACGCTGGCTCCTTTGTCATCTGGCACTGAAAGCTGAAGATCCTAAATGAACAGTGCTTAAGCTGATGTCATACTTGAGGGAGTTCAGCAGGGGAGGCAGGGGGAAGAAAAAAGAAATGAAGCTGTGGATTTTACACAGCTGGGTTTTTTTTATTATCATTAGAAAACTTCAGGAAAGTATTGATAGGATGGGCTGGGACGAAGCTGTGATTCTGGGGGCATATCAGTCTTGATATCCTTTTGAAATGCAGCCTTCTTAGACAAATATCCCCAGGAATACCTCAGATTATGAATGCAGATTTACCTGGGACTGTGTTTATATAAGGCCGTGGATATGCCTGCAAATTCATTCACTTATGCAAGATGCAGTCTTCCACTTTAAACACTATGATTAACACAGCAGCACCTTCACAGCATCCATCTGAAACAAAATGAAAGGCAAAGGAGAGAAAAGACTGTAAAGCCCACATTATACATACTTCCAGCTCATTTCCCTAAGCAGAGAACTTGAGACTCACCAGCACCAGGGTGGATGATAAATGAGGGTTATAGCCTTAGGCAAAAAGAAGTCCATCTGCTCACCCTGCTCCACCCAAGCTTGCAGCAGTCAATGCACAACAGTGCTCCAAATGGAAAAGAGGAATGGAAATAATTTGCCCAACAGTTGGTAGAAAGGGAACTGATGTTAGATCCTAATCCAGTGCCCAGATGGTGAAAAGAAGCACTGGTTAAGGAGGAGCAGAAACTGAAGAAGTTCTCTGTGATGGACTTGCTCTAGCCCTACTTACCTAACTGGGCAAACCCCTGAGAGCCCCTGCCAGTGGGCTACAGGTGTGGGGTCACAGACCACTTCTACATTAATGCCTGCTAAGTCTCGTTGCAAAAAACTAAGAATACACCACATACCCATGAATGGCACTCCCTTTCCAAGGCTGTTTTTTCAGGTGCTAATGGGGTCCACTTCACACCAGCTAACAGCAGCTCTGTAAGTGAGGCACTCTAAAAGGCTGTCATCCTGGGGACCCTAAGGCCATCTCCAAGGAGTAAGAAGAGCAACAGCTTCTGAAACACAAATGATCAAAACTTTTCACATCATGGCCCCACTCTTACACACTTCTAAGATACTTAGTCCTTTTTAAAAATTAATAGCAACATTCTGAGATCTATTCCCAGATGCTGGAAAGGCCAGAGATTTTGCAAGTTTTCATGCGATGCCATTTCAGCAGGCTGAGAAGCATTTCTTGGCTTCTCAGTTTATGTGAACCAGAGCAAACTCTTTTCTATTATCATCTCCTAGTATTGCACCCAGGGGTGTACATTTCAGGGGCATTCAGAGCTTTGTGGCAAGCATGGAATAAAATCCATCCCAAAATCTAGGCTCATGTTGCTGAGAACAAAAGCAGAGACCCCTTGTGTTGTAGAGCTACAGCACACATCTGAAGAGGCCAATCTCCATCTCATACGGAGCAACACTAAACATATGCAGAGCAAGTTTTGTGGCAAATTCATACACCCCGCTGCAAAGGTGATACGCCCCTGTGCATGCAGAGCTTCCTAACACCCGGTACCTGAGGTGTTAATATAACACAACAGAAACAAGGTAATCTCTGAAATGAGGACAGTGCTCCAAGAACGGATCGATCCAGGGTTGCCCTTCAGTTCCCAGTTGCTGACAGACAGCAAATTGATCACAGTGTGGTTTGAATTTCTCTCCTGACAATTCAGGCAGGCGATGGCCAGGAGCTCTGTAAGTGCGTAATCTGTGCCTGGCATTCGCTCACTATGTACTAAACAATGATAAGACCTTTGGAGCAAGCTGTTTCTCCTCCAGTCGGCTAACATTTGTATCCAGCTGAACTCCTGGGGTGATAAGTACAGCAGACCTCCTCCTCTGAGGCAGATAAGTAAAACATACTGTAAAGAAAAGTACAGGGAATTGGCACGTCTCTTCTAAATGGGCTGTCAGCAGCTGAGTGCTGCAGTCCCCGGGAATGCAAGGGAGAAGAGGGGTATTTTTTCCAGAGAGCCTCTGCTTTCCTCTGAGAAGGGAGATTCATTCCTCCTTCCCCTGGCTTGGTTTGCGTAGAGCCATGCCCCAACACAGGCCGCAGCAGCATCTTTGCTAATTCTCAAAGTGCCACCTACAGTTTGTGTGAGTGCATGTGTACGAGCACACACTCATAGGCAGAGATAGAGACATGCCATAAATGTATATATATATACACGAGTACCGAGACATGATCAAGTCAGCTGCTAGCTCACACATGAGAGGATAGAAATAAGCCTGAAAATGCTTCTGTTCTGGGGAGCAAGTCCTCCCCTTGCAGGGGAAATCAGGCATCAGCCACAAAACCCCTGCAGGAGCACAAGCCTTGCAGGGAATGAAATAAGGTCATTCTGACTACACCTCACATACTTTGCAAGTGGTCCTCAGTCCCTAACTCAGGAGTGCCACAAGCACAGGAAAGGAATCTGTGGTCTGTTTTCCTTCCTGATCAAACACGCCAGTGGATCTCTCAGTACCAGCTCCCCAGAGGTGCCATGAAAATGATGGTAAGTGGGAGCAAGTGCTAGAGTGGAGCAGTGCAGCACCTTCAATAATCACGGTGATTTAGCAATCGTCACCACCACCACCTCCATCCCACCACTCCAGCAAAAGGGCCCTGCACAGTGGAGAAGCATTTTTAGACAGTAGGGAAGGCAAACAAGGCAAAGGAAATGAATGCAACAGCTGAGAGGCTTGGGATTTAATCAGAGTTGGCTTTCTACTGCTGGCTTGCTATCTTTCTTTGCTTATTTTCAAGGGAAAATGTCCGTGTCTGTAGAAAATATAGAAGCTTTTTTATTTAAAAAAAAACTATTGTCTGCTCCCTCTTCATGATTGAAATTAATAAAAAAAAAAGGTGGGTTTTTCTTAAAAAAAAAATTCCTGCAGAAGTATTTCAGAGAAATAAAAGAGGACTTCTAGCTGGGGACATCACAAAAGCCATCCCTAGATCCACAGGAAAAACAACGGCCAAACACTCTCTAGTAGAGGCTTTCCTTGGAAATTTGCCTCCCTCAGCTGGGTATTTCTACTGCTCTGTGCAATGGCTTTGTCTTTTCCTTGGGGTTTCATCCCACCCATAGAAGGCTGTGGTGAACCAACACCAGCAGGGGATTGCACTGAACAGATTTCAATCAGTGTATGTGCAGACCTCAAACAAGCCCCTCCATGGCAAAAACCACCTTCAGGCCTGAGCAGATGTTTGCAGGAGAAGACCCTGGAGAGGCTTGAGTGCTGTGTTCTGGAGCTACACATTCTCTTGCTCCAACCAAGCCCAGAGAACACAACAATGCATTCTGTTTGGACATGGGCACACTTGAAAATGGTTATTTACAATGATTTCAACCAGACTGACAAGAAAACAGGAGAACAGAATGGTTTTTAAATGCACCCTGTGGCTAAAAGCCTGAAAGCAATTGGCCTCTGGCCAGGCTCTGAGAATGAACAATGATATTTTGGGGCTGAGGCGGTGGTGAGCCCAGCTTCTTCCTGCTATTATTTGACTTTTTGAAACCTACTTAAATGGAGGGATTGTTAACTGATTGGATGTCTTTCAGTTTGACTCTTAGCTTTGGCTCATGATATGGTAGATATACAAACAGCACATTCCCAATACCCCCTTCAGTCATCAGTCATTCCTCTCACCTATCAGTTTGTTTCTTTTTTTCTCTTTTTTAAAATGTTTCTTTGCTGTAAGTTTAAGCCTTTTGTGGAAAGAGAAGATGGAAGAATTTTTTCTTCCTTTCTGTTCACACTTTCTGAAACACTTTTATTCTGCATGTTAACTGATTTCTTGGCTTTTGAAGAAGTAAACAAAATGTTAAAAAGTCAAAACCAAAGATGAAATATTGAGGTTGTCCTGACTCCTTGTTTCTTTTCCAAATCTGCTATGAACCATTTGGGATTTTAATTTCTGTTCAAAAACACCAAGCAAAAAAATCATTTACAAATCTTCAAAACTCCCACAGAAATGGGAAAAAAACACTCCCACTTAACCATCTGGACAACTACTGTGTCTGCTCCATCTCATAATTGTTGGGGGTCAGACCCCAGTCTCCTCACCAGTGAGGGCAGGAGCCAGCTCCGTCCCGCAGGTGATGGGACCTCACTGACTCCTCCAGTAGGAAGCCCAGTTCCCACAGGGCAGGTAGCTGTGGTGCCACGCAACTGGTCCTGCACCATCCCGTGCCAACAAAGACATGATATCACTGAAGGCGGACCCAATACTACCAGGAATATCATGGAAAACTCCTTCAGGGTGGGCCTGGCAGGATTTGAGGTTAGGCGAAAATTTAAATGTCTGTTTCTAGGGTAGTCTCTCAGTGCTTTTGAACAATAAAAAATAATAATAATTAAAGGTCTGTTCTTGTAATCTGCAGGGGGTCACTTATCTGGTAGATCTTTGACAGGCACACTACTCTCGTGGTCTTTTTCTACGTGAGAGTGACATTTGGTGGGGGTGGAGAGAAGGAAATTGAAAATGCAAAGGGAAAATTTGACCAGACTACTCCCACTTTTCGAAAACCCAAAATACATGCGTGCATGAGTGAGCTGGCTAGGTAGGAGTTTAAATCCCAGCTGTAAGTAGAGTCACCCAGCAATGTCCTTATTTGTACTCTTCCTTTTCCCTTCCATTTACTTCTGTTAATTTGCAACCTCGCAGCCACCCACTGGGTTGATAAGATCCCCAGAGAAAAGGGGGAGCTCTTGGTCAGAGAACTGGCTGTTGTCAGGTTTCAGAAACTGAGCCAGCCTGTCCTGGGAGGTGCCACAGACGAAGACAACCATGTGTAGCTGAAGGTATCTGTATTTAATCACAAACGAGTGGGGAGAATTTGCTCAGGCTGCTTGTTGCTGCAGGGCTGAAAGCCAGAGAAGACAGAAAAACTGTCTTGTTGCAAGAAAACATAGCTTTGGCAATCATGTTGTAAACCTGAACCCTTCTGCTGAAGCCTGTGTCTTGTTTCAACCAAGTCTGTTGGAGTGGAAGAGTACAGGAGACTGAGTTCCTACTGTTTTTCTGAAAACAGGTATCTGGGTACAAGAGACCACACAAGCCATTCAGTCAGGGGACAGACCACAGAGGTTTCAGAAGTGGGACACAGAGAGCCACATGAAGCTCCAACAAGACAAAAAGCCAGAATTGGATCTTTTTTTTCTTAGAGACCACAGTCAGCCAGCAATGGGAAACAAGCCCGTAGGAAATTAGACTTAATTCCAACTTTCACGTAGGGACTCCTAATGTGTTACTCTTTATGACAGGACTGAGACACCCCAGCAAACCAGCAAATTCAGTGGACAAGAAGGTAGGCTGAAGCTCAGGAACAAGGTATGGGACCAGTGCAACAGCTTGATCAAAAGAAGAACAGTGGTCCAGTGGTTTTCTTTAGCAGACATTAGTCTCTCGACCTGCCCCACTTGTGGAAATGGCTCTCTGTGTGCCCTTGTCCAAGCACCTGGCTTGTAAGACACTCACCAAACATGCTCTGGGGAGCTTTGCAGATAAACAATACATGAAAATGTATGTGAGGAGAAGTGTGCAAGACTGAATACACAGAGGGAGAAAAAAGGAGAACATGAGAAATCAGACATCTAACAAAGAAGAAGGAAAAATGATCAGGCAAAGCAGTGAGATGAGAGAGAGCTGTTATTAGAGACAGGCAAGAAGTGAAAAGAGGCAAATTAAACACCAGTTCAAACCAGAGTAAAAATAGCACAGGGGGAAAAGGAAAAAGAAAACACCTGCAAAGGAACAAAACTCATGTTTTTCAGGAGGTGCTATCACACTCACACATCTGCTCAGCCAGCTCTGCAGAGCAACGTACCCTGAAATTCACTGTAGGGCAGTGGGGTGTCCCAGAGAATGGCCCTGGCTGTAGCCCACCCTGTCAAACATCCATGTTCTCCTGGAGGCCAAGTCAGATAACAAACTTAGGGACTGTTGCCGGGTCACTGCACTTAGTTATTTGCCTCAATATCAAAC